AACTATTTTTTCTCTGTCAAATTTCTTATAAAAATTTGTTTAAATTTATAAAAAACTTATTTTTTGCCATTTTTATAAAAAATTTACAAAAATATTCCCATAAAAAATAAGAATTTTGAGTAGTGACAAAATCAAAATACGAAACTTATTTAACCTTATTGTCCGCTAACTATGATCAATTTTCTTTCTTCTAACAAATAATTATATATATTATAGCTTACAGTGTTAGAATAGTTCTATTTATTACGATAAATTTGTAATATCTAACTAAGATGTACATTTTATTTTATTAATCGATTATCGAAAATTACGTATGTTTCCATTTTTAATAAGGTATCTCGATTTATTATTTTATCTGATATTAAATGGTGATTGAATTATTTTTTAATATTCAAATATTTGCTCCTCAAAATAAAGATATATATATTAAAGATTTTATATTTAACTAAAAATATGATTATTAATAAAGTATAATTAAAGTGTAAATCTTCTAGTAATATAATTTTATAAAATTGAATTAAACATTATTTTTAATCTACTTTTTCGTATATTATTAATTTATTGAAAAGTGAATATGCAACTGAGGCAAATCTCTCAAATTATTTGAATTTGTTCTTTTTAATCTTAAGCTTTTTTTTTTTGTTTACCTATATATCTTTCTTTAGATATGAGTATTTCGTAAGTCAATTATTATTTTAAATAAGAATTTCGAAGAAATTTTTATTAGAGATATTCGACACTTAACCAACTTTTAACGATGCACTGATATGATGGGAGATTTGGAGAGTAAAGAGATTAAGAAGATCCTTTAAACTAATTTGAAAGATAAAATTTTGATTTGAATTTATATGATATCGCTAAGAGGATTTTAACAGAGTTGTTGTTATGAAAAAAATAGTATGAGAATAGTGGATATATAAAAATATGCTCCCCAATGGTGAAGCAGCACTTGAAAGGTGGGAAAGAGTATGGAAATGGACCAATGAGGATGAGACAGCGAAGATGGAGTCTATGGCCCACTCATGGACGAGTGAAGAAGTAAAAAGTAGTAATCTTCCCAACACGAACCAATAACAATTTCCCAACCCTAAAACTCTTTCAAATATCAAAACCCTATCTTTCTCTCTTTATTCTTCTCTCACTCTCTTTTGCCGCGTGTGTGTCTTCACCTCCTACACTCACTACTGTACCTTTTTCGGCACACTCTCTCACTCTCACTCTCACTTCATATATTCCACCAAACAACACAGAAGTGCAAAAAGATAAAAAGGTTAAGAAGATCATTATTTTTACTACTTTATTGGTATGAAATATATACCCTATGAAAAGGCACTCTTTTATTATTGATTCTTCAATAAGTTGGTGCTTTTGGATTCACGTTTTGGTGCCGGGATATTGTCCCATTTTTTATTAATGGATTTGCTTCAGATTTTCGTTATTCTTGTCTATTATCAACAACCCTATTTCCCCACATCCTTAATTATAGATTCATAATTTCGAAAAAGATAAAAACAAGATGTGGCTTTATCCTTCTACTTTTTCTCAACTCTTTTTTTCTTTTCCTATTTGCCATTACATGCACTATTCAAATAATTGGATCAAACCAGTGTTTTATGTAAACTATAAATCAATTAATAGAATTTTTTTTATTGTTTCCTTTATTCAAAATTGCTCGTACATGTATTATTTTACTTTTTAATGAAATTTTGTTCTTAATAATTATTGTTACATTTAGTAACGAAAATATTTCAGTTTTATATTTTTTATGATAATATCATTATGATTAATTTTTACTTATGAGGTATTATCTATTTTAGAATGATCGTTCATTATGGTTTTATCTTTAAAAGATGTCTCGGTAAGTTAAAAAAGAAGTAATATATATAAAGTATCTTTAATCTTGACTCTTAAGTGATGTAAGACTCATCAAGCATACTGGGATAAGTCCCTCAGTTGAGGACTAAGAAGTATAAGAGTGAAGGGAGACTCAACTCTCTACCCCACGGTAGACATTAATGTTTCATCAATTATCTGCTATGATAACATCATTGGGATTAATCATATTTAGTATTTATGAATAATGTTAATGTTACTAATATATAGAATAAAGTATCATATATATATATATATATATATATATATATATTATCCAAAAATTAATAATTATATTTTATTATTCTATTATCACGGTGTTTTATTCCACATAGTCTATAAGATCGATATCTCTCATTATAAGGTTTGATTATGACAAGTTTTGAACAAGATCTACTACGCTCCACAAGATCAAAATCTACAATTGTCAATAAATTGTAAAATCCATTCATAACTAGAGAGTAACAAAAAATATTTGATCACAATCAAATCTTAAATCCTAAATAACAATAAAAAAACTTAAATCCTAAATAACAATAAAAAAACATAAATATGAGTGTATCTATCCAACCCAAATCCATTAAAATTATTTTATTGTTATAATATTTTATATTAGTTAATGGACTATATAAGGAAACTCAATCACACAGTAAATTTTAACTCATCACTCATTTTTAAATACATTACTCTCTTATCTAAAAATTGACTAAAACTGACTTGAGTGTCAGAGTGTTTTTTGTAGGTGGATCTTTACTCATTACAAAGAAAGTCATTCAACATCCTCGAAGTCGAAGATAAAGTCAAAACTCAAAACATAATCCACCGATCTCATCAAATCCTCTTGCCGACCTTCACCAATATAATAAGAATATTTGACACTCACCACGAGACTAGTAAAACGATTCGCGATCTCTTCCAATTTTTGGTTTTAACCCAGAGTCAGATGATGTTTAATTCCAACGGTGATATGGACTCTACAATCATCATCGATAAACTTAAGAAGCATATGGACACGTGCCAACAAAGATATCACGAGGAGATAAAAAACTGCAAGATTAGAAGAACAAATAATGCCAAGCTATTGTAGATTCAACAAAAGGAAACAGAAGAACTGAAGATGGTTTGAAAAAAAACACCACGCAACCCAACAGAAAATAGTCGAAGACTTGCAAATAATTCGAAAACAACACTAAGCAAAGTTCAAATCCTATGAAACGATGTAAAGACTTTAGTCAAACAACCACGGATGAGTAAGTCAAACATGCACCAAGAAGAGACTGCAACATCAAGTCAAGTGCGAACAACAGAGTTATAAGGTAAAAAATTATACCATTGTAAGGTTGATTCTTTTAACGTGGTGGGGAAGACTCGGTAGAGGACGATTCTACTATTGATATATAATTTTACATGTGTCTTATACATTGTTAAGTGTTCTTCTAGATCTGTCGAACCATCATATTTTTCTATGTTGAGTGACTCCCTTAGGTGGGAGAGGTATTTCCATGATTCCTGGAATGAATGGGTGAACGTGATGGGTATCCTTCTCATGAATCTCAATTTTTTATGTACACTGGGAGTGTGTAAGTTGAAGCCAGAGTGGGGCTTTTACTATAGGTTATCTCGAAGGAAGAAATTGAATCGTTGCTTTGTTAGTGTGTCACACGAGTTATAAAACTTACCCTACTCAGGATCACACGAGTTATACATACCTTATTCAGGTATACAAGTTATCAAAACTTGCATCTACCTCACTCGAGATCACACGAGTTATATATACCTTATTCAGGAGGTATATAAGTCATAAAAACCTAAATCTACCTTACTCGGAGTCACAGGAGTTATACATACTTTACTCAGGTATATGAGTTATAAAATCTTGAATTTACCTTACTCAAAGTCACATGAGTTATAGATACCTTACTCAGGTATATGAGTTATAAAAGCTAGCATCTACCTTACTCAAGATCACATGAGTTATATATACCTTACTCAGGTATATGAGTTATAAAAGCCAGCATCTACCTTACTGGGATCACACAAGTATAATACATACCTTATTCAAATATATGAGTTATCAAAACTTGCATATACCTTATTCAGTATCACACGAGTTATATATCCCTTAGTCGAGGTCAAACGAATCATCAAAACTTGCATTTACCTTACTTGGGGTCACACAAATTTTACGAGTTATCAAATATCTTTGCATGAAAAATAAATAAACTTTACTGAATAAATCTCACGAATATATCTTGGTCTAACCAAATAATGATTGATAAAATAAACATGTTCAAACCGAACATTACTCGATGAAATGATCAACTTAACCTTAAACTCATTTTGTCTCTATTCTTAAAGGAATTCACCCTAAGCTTGGGGAACTTATGTACTTATCCGACCAAAATTCATTAAAACTACTTTATTGTTATAATATCTTATATAAGTTGTTATATTTTTCGTTATTATCTTTTGGGCTATCAACTATTATATTTTGCGTTATTATTATCTTTTGAGCCCTATATAAAGAGACTCAGTTAGGAATTAAATATCACCTTATCACTCATTCTCAAATATATTACTTTCTTATCTAAAAGTTGACTTGAGTTTTTGAGTGTCTTTTACCGATGGATTTTTAATCTTTCCAAAAAAGTCATTCAATATCGGTAAAGCTAAAAATGAAGTCAAAATTAAAAATATGATCTACCGATCTTATCAAATCCTCTTGTCGCCCTCCGTAAATACAATAAGAACAGAAATTATAAATAATTATTTAAAATATTATGAGAAGACAATATTCATTAATGAATTAGTGATAAAGTCATAAATTCTATCAAATCAATTTACTGAAAAATTAATAATTCTAAATTTTCTTATAATTTTATACTAATGATACTCAATAATTTCTTTAAAAATTAATAAATATGTTTTTTTATTTAATAGTTTATTATAAAATGTTAAAAGCATTAATATTTTTTTTATCAATCTTAGGTTTAAGAATAAAAACGTGTAAATTTTTAATTTTTATACTATTTGCTATTTTGGTCCATTTTGTGTTGAAAAGAAAATATTAAAACCTAAGTATTAAACATTTAGTGACAAAGCCAGCACAAAAGAGTTGCCTCAGTCACAGCTTTCGACCAAAAACACGCTGTCGTCTACTCGCTGTTGTCCGCACCCAAGGGCGGGGACCACGGCCAACCGCCACAACATTATCCCACGCGCCATCAAAGCGCGTGGTCCCTCTGGGAAAATATCTCCATCCGAAACGTGACGTGTACCAAGCATAGGTCCCACCACGATCCCGGAGCAAATATGGAAACCCCTCTGGATGGTCGCCACGTGGCTCTCTTAGTTACTGTACATGCGTCCCCTTTATATACGCGGTGCTCCCTCATCCAAAGAAAAGAAAAAACCTCACCCTCACACCTCTCCAAACCCTTTCTCTCTCACACTCACTCTCACTCTCTGTCACGGACAGAGCAAAACTCAGACACCCACGTTCACACTTCACATACCATCCCTCTTTGTTTCTTCTTCATCTTCTTCGTTTCTTTTTTTTTTTTTTTTATGGAATGATGGAACACAACATCATCAGCAACACCAACTACGTGATCGCACCGTTTGTCATAAAAACCTACAACATGGTTAACGATCCCACCACTGATAAACTCATCACGTGGGGCCCAGCCAACAACAGTTTCATCGTCCTCGACCCCCTCGACTTCTCCCACTCCCTCCTCCCTGCTTTCTTCAAGCACAACAACTTCTCCAGCTTCGTTCGCCAACTCAACACCTATGTTAGTTTCACTCACCTCACTTTTCTATCTCACTAAAATTAAATTAATTAAATTCTTAGATCTTTTACCATTCTTTAGTTCCCATTGACGTTCATCTCAATAATCTATGCTTGTTTTCAGTGTAAAATTCTCATAAAATTTCATAGATTACGGTAATTTCATTTTTTATATGTAAATGAACAAATTTCGGAAGTAGTTTTTTGAAGTCTTATTTACAATATTAATCTTTCCCAAAATTACCTTAGGAAAGGTATTTATTTAAGTTTTGAAGAAAGCTCGTATACAATCTTAGAGATTTGTAACAAAACAAAATTAGATTTTTTTTTTATATATATAATCGATATTATAGAAGTTAAGGACAATATAAATTATCCATGTAAACAAAGACACTTCTGAAACTTTATGAGGTTTGTTCAATTTGGACCGAACCCCATTTCCCAAAACCAGATTTTTCTTTCCGGGCATCTCTTATATTTTCTAAATTCAGTTAATTTTAATGCATTTTTTTTTAATGTTTTCAGATTCTGTTAATTTTAACGTGTTTTTTTTTTGTAATGTTTTTAGGGTTTCAGAAAGGTGGATCCGGATCGGTGGGAATTCGCGAACGAGTGGTTCCTGCGGGGGCAGAAGCATTTGTTGAGGAACATCGTGCGGCGGAAACACGGCGGAGGAAGGAACAACAATTTGCAGTCGCATTTGCATCCCCTGAAGTTGGACGAGTTGGACGACGAGGTCATGTTGATGGAGATAGCGAGGTTGAAGGAGGAGCAGAAAGCGTTGGATGAAGAGCTTAGAGGAATGAACAAGAGGTTAGAGACAACGGAAAAACGACCGCAGCAAATGATGGCCTTCCTGTCAAAGGTTGTCGAGGACCCGCAGGTTCTCTCTCGGATTCTCCGAGAAAGAGAAAAAAAACACCTCGGCGAGAAAAAGCGACGCCTCATTCCGCCGCCTCCGACGGCGGCGACCTCCTCCTCCTCCTCTTCCGGCATCAAGACCGAGTTCGATGAAGACGAAGGTAACAATATCATGTCTTCATCACCGGAGACGGGTTTGGAAATCGATAATAATAATAATATTATTATTTGTTCGCCGGCGACGGCGGGTTGTTGGGGGGAACAGGGATGTTACGGGTATAATTGCGGCTGCGTACCTGCTCCGTTGACTTTGGTAAGTCCGGCGGCGCCGGCGATGGGAGGAGGGTATTTGGGGCGTGGGGGTTTCTTTGGGGAAATGACGGCGGAGGGGAGTGCTCCGCCGCCTTATCCGTTTTCGCTCTTGGAAGGTGGGTTTTAGATTTAGTTTCTTTTAGGTTATGATATGAATGACTTATTACTGCCACCAGATTTTATCTTGGATTCTGTCCTTTGTATTGGAAGTTCTATCCTTTTTGTGCGATGATTCTGTGTAAAGAAAAAGGGCAAGGAAAGGAGAAAAATAATTAAGGATAATTGTTAGATATTTATTTATTTATTTATTTTTGTTCAATTTTAGTTTTAATGTTTCTCACAAATATCGTTTGACATGGACCATTTAATTCAGAGTTACTTGACTTACCTCCATTCCAGCGAAATTGAATTCTGATTTTATAAGACATTATACTGAAAAACAAATCTTTCATTTAGGATGGAAAAAAATGAAATATTATATTATGACATTTATATTAAACGCTTGTAAAATTTAGTTTAAAATCAAATTTATTTTATTTATCAAGTAAAAAAAATTATAAAATATTAAACAAGTTTAAATAATTTAAAAGAAATAAAACAATATAAAACTTGATTAAACATATTTGAAATTGATCAATATGGGGGTGGATATGGATGTATAATAATCAAAATTGGAGATTGAAAGTTTGTTAGAGTAGAGACAAAAATAAAATAATTGATTAGTTGAATAACATAGTGTGTGTTTGAACAAATGTTTAGGTGGTTTATTTCATAATATAAACAACCATGTGTGTTAATCATCTGTCCAAACTAGACACAAATCAGTCACCACAGTTTTTGTTTTGTTTTGTTTTGTTTTTCTTTTCAGAAGCCATGGCTGCTTCAGAGTGTGAAAGATGATGCTGTTTAAACAATTTGATTTTAATTACAACATAATTTGGGAGGTATGTTTTTATTTCGATTCTCTAAATTGATTAAAACCTAGTTTGACTTTGTCCTATTTTTGTCATTATATATGTCTTCAAATTAAATGATAGCACGTGTTGGTACTATTTTTAAATTATATTATGATGGACAAAATATCCGCATAGGGCATGATTTTATTTCAATTTGGATGATAATGTTTTCTATTTTATCAGTTTAAAATTTTTGACAGAAAAAGTTGATAAAATATAAAAGTGAAAATATATCAATATGTTTGAAATTAATTATCATTTAACACAGAAAAAGTTTATTTACATCATTTAAACTGTGACTACTGGTTTAACTCAAGAATAAGATCCTAAATGAAGAAAGTGAAACAATGCAGTTTTTGTTATTTTCAGAAAGGAATCTTGCAAAACCATGGCTGAATGTGGTGCAGCTTTTGTATGCAGATCCAAAACCTGCAGCTTCAGATTCTGACTTCTTTTCTATTCATACAAGTCTATGCTTTGCCTATGAAGGAAGAAAAAAAAATGCTCTCTAGTTAATAGTATCTATAAAAATATGTATTTATATATTATCTAAAACTTATAAAAAAAAACGCGAATCTCATTCTAATAGTAATTTTTACAATTAGTTATATTAACAGTAATAATTAAAAACACAATTGAATAATTAATATTATATAAAAATAAATAAAATATTTTAATTATTTTAAATATATATTTATAATAATTATCATACATGAAAAATATATTTTAACTTTAAAGACTCATAATTTGGGGGTGGTGTTTGATAACTTAAAAAAAAAAAATTAATATGTTTGAGATCGATGCATGAATGAAAACTTTTGGACAAATATATTTATTATATCACGATAATGTCCACATACTCTCCGTACAAATTTGAAGACTTCGAGGCGCGAAATTTTTTAAGAAAAATTTCATTTTATTTAATTGATGTCATTGACGCTGAGTACATTATTATATTAAATAATATATTTATTTATTTTATTCATAACTGTACTTTTCAAAATAAGTCAATAACTACCTACTATTTGATTGCATATATTGCTAGAGGAATGTATTACACAAAAAAAATTAATATATATGATTATAATAAGATCACAAAACTCAATTACTGGGATAATTTTATATATATATATATATATATATATATATATATATATATATATATATATATATATTTGAAAGGAAATAATAATTAATAAAAGTCCTCTTACTCTTTCTTTGATTCACTGCCATGTTGTCCTTCTCAAAGCCATCCACTGTCAAACTGTCCCTCCAGCTTGCCTGCCACACTCCATTCACCTTTTTAGTATCCTCTGCACTTCAACCTTTTACTCTTTCTTCTTCTTCCTTTTCTCAATCATTTCTTCCACATATCTCAATTCTTTCAACTCTTTCTAACCATTTTCATCATGCAATCCTATTCAACGTCACTTTGTTCCAACCCTAATGCGTCATCATCATCATCATCATTTTACACTGTCAATTGCTCTACACCAAGAACATAAGTTTTGAAATAATCAGGTTAATTATCATTCATTTCAAGAACTACATGCCATCTCTCAAGAAATTATGAAAAAACTGAGATTCTTTCCAATTCAAATCACTTTCAAAACTGATTACAGAGATAGCTGCAAAACCAATAAGTTATATGATATAATTATAATTTTCTCTGCTGTGCTATGATTTAATAACAGTGGCATGAGTGGAAACTCCATCACTCCATACATATAGGACGACAAAAAGTTGGCAGTGCAAGTCTATGCATATGATGCATTTCATTTCAGTTCATTCTCAACCCACGTGATTCTTTTCAACCTTTTCTGCCCCTTCAAGGTCACTTCACCTCACTTCTTCCACTCTCATTCTTTCTACAGTTTCTCACCTTTAAAATTTTCATTTATGCTTTGTTTCTGCTTTCTCCCACATGGGTGTGAGCATTTAATCCATATCATATGTTTTGAAACTCAAATCTTGAATTTTGTTATAATTTTATACTGATACGTCAAACATTTCCACATTTAGCACGTTAATCTTAATCATGTAGGTCATAGTTTATTTGTAAAAATATGATAGCTTTTTGTAGACTAATGAATAAAAAAAGCTATTTTGCTCGATAGGGAAACAGCTAACCATGCAACCCTCACCCTAAACACATAAAATAATATACATTTTTCTATTGGCTTGAGAGAATAGTTGTTCTGAAAAAAATTAGAGAGAATATCTTTGTAAGCACCCAATTGGAGTGGCAACATCAACACTAACATTCAGAGAGAATATTTTAACTTTTGTAATGAACTTATTATTAAACTCTTATCCAGAAAAAAAAAACGGATAAGTTTATGTCTGTATTTTTTTTTTAACTTTTTGAAAAAGTATTTTTGAATACTTTTTACTTCAAATTATATAATTAATATTAATTTACGAGGAAATCCTAATTGTTTTTTCTTATATTTATTTCTATGAGTAAATTTATCTAAAATAACAGTATATATATGTGGTATTGTGCATATTTTTCCAAAATTTCTGCCTCACTGATTCATATTCTAAACCTTGGTATATATGTTTGTATGGAGAATAAGTATAAAAGCCAGGTGTCTTAATAGGTTGATTACAGGTTGAAATATTCCATTCCAAGTTTTTGGTAAAGAATTCAACACTTTTTGATCGAAACATCATTTTCTATTTTCCATTTTCCTTTTTCTAAGTTCTCCACTTCTCTTTACATAATGAAAATTCCTTTAGCTTTGCTTTGAACCGAAAAACTAGAGAAAGAAAAAGTATAATATCTATTTTAATTCAATATATTTCGGTTTAAAAATCCTTTAACATGATAAATTATCTATAACTATTTTATTTTAATTTAATTTTAAATAAGATAATTATTTTTGTTGAAAATTTTACATTAATTAAAATATGATCCAATTATATTATATAAGTAGGTATAAATCTTACTTGATAAGTAAATTTGAGCTTAAAAAAAAAAAGAATCAAGTTGAACACGAAATCAAACATATTAAGATTATTAATGAAAAAATATGATACGAAGTCTCTTAATTTATACGAACATGTTAAGCTTCGTTTAAAGTAGTTACGTAGGAGTTAGAAAGAAAAGAGAAAAGGAACAGACATGTATTAGGGTGGAAAATGACGATGGAGGCACGCGAGGATTTGATCATGTGGGACCCAATCCAGACCATCCAGCAGGGTGCCATCGCCACGCGTCACGACGAGAAACCATCTTGTAGCGAAAGCGGGACCCACTAGCCTTTCCAATAATGGAAGGTAACCGGAGAGAAAAGTGGGAACTGGTGGGTCCCAAGGCTCACGTAAGGGACAAACTCCACGGTCTTTTCGCTTTTGAAAGTGGGACCCACCTACCACCTTCCCTCGTGCAACTCACGTGGGGCCATTTCATGACTCGTGTCTCCCTCCCATTCTTTCCCTTCACCAATACTTTATACGTTCAAATATTTATTCATCAAACAATTCAAAAATATTATATGATTGGCTGAAAAATTAAACTCTTTGATTCAAAATAATCGGAAATTTATATATAAATGAGCTTAAATGTTGATATAAGTTTATATATGAAGAAATTTTAAGGGCTTTAGATGCGTTTAAGGTTTAAGGTTAAAAGTTGGAGGAGAAGGAGGGGCAATATGATGGTACTCTGTCACACAGTATTGTGGTGGACGTTCAACCCATGCCTTCCATTACTCCTCGGCTCCACCACGTGTAACATCTACATCTCATCATCATCAATAATAATAATAATAATAATAATAATTTATTAATATTTTTTAGTAATTTATAATAAATAGGTATGAAAAATAACATGTATAAAAAATTCTGGTGTGATATAAGGCGCCACATTATTCTCTCGATCAATTCAAACTTAATCAAGATACACTTTTTTTTTTTTTTTCCTATTTGGTAGAGTAGGAGACGTGTGCTTGCACCAGTGGAAGCCATGGTTTGAGTAACCACAGAACGTGACACGTGTTTGTTGCCAAATTGTTAACTGAGCAAAGTCTCTGTCTCGGGAGGTAAAAAGAAAAAAGAATTGGTGCCACATATTCCTGCAATGTTGCTTGTTTTGTGTGGTGATTTGCAATCATCTATTAAAGAATGTTGCGCCTGTAAATCACCCACGTTAGTCCAAATATAAAATAATGAAACCCGGTTTAATATTGATGAGTTTTAGTACGATTCGTGGAGTGGTGGTGCCAAGCTTTTGCATCTGTCGTGATATGTAGCAGCAGTCTTAATGAAAATTAACCACCATTTCGTGTGTCATACGTAACCACGAGTTTTCAATTTCAAAACTTTTAGATCACAATGCTTGAGTTGGTGCTACATGGTTTCTAATTTGTATACATCTTCTACCCTTTCGTTGTCGAGTTCGAAGATTGGTTTTGTAAGTCATTAATTAACAACAAAGCAAGCTAGTCACCACACTAAGGCACACAGGGTCAACGATGAATAGGATTATAGGACGACTCGAGTCTATTGGTTAACTTCTCTAATATATGATAGGAAATTCGATATCTTATATGGTATATTTTGTATTCATCAAGTAAAAATATGATAAAATATTAAATATTAATAATAGTTTAATTATAATTATATATATTAAAATAATATAATATTTTTATTTAATAATAAAATAATGTTTCTAACAATCATGTGTCATATGAATTTTATTATATATATCTATTTATAAAATAATAACGCTCTTACAAACAAAATAAAAAGCATTGTTTTACTTTATTTTGTAAACTGAAAAATATATTTACCTTAAAATTAAGTTATTAATGTAGTTGAAATCCTTTAAATAAACTTGTTAAGTTGATTGATTTTATAATATCATGATTGTTTTGTTTTAAGTTTGTTTATTGATTAATTATCAATTTGTTCATAAATAAAATTATGAGATTTGAGAGTTTATTAAAATTCATGAAAGCTATAGATGGTAAGAGTTTATTTCACAAGAAAGATAAATATTTTTATAAAAATTCATCAAATAATCTTTAGTAATAATTATATATGTTAGAATTTAATTCTAATTCTAAGTTTTGATTTCAGTTTTTAGTTTTCAGTTTGTAACTAATGTTGTAACCCAATAATAATATACTCTTCTATATAAGAGTATCCAAAATTCAGAATCAATTGTATTACAATTTTTTCAATTTATAACAAAATACACAAATCAAACCTATCATTGTGCAAATTATTGTATGATTGTACGCGTGTGAGGAATATAGAGAAGAAGAAAGTAAGAAACTTATCTGGTGCCATAACAAGGGACGGTGATGCTGTGACGGTGGAAATTCTGGAACCCTAGTAGCGCAGTGAAACGGTGAGAGTTTTTTTGTTTATCGGGTTTGGTGTATACAGAAAGGGGGTGTGGTAAACGTTGACAATTTGGGCCTAAGTATTGACTAGGTTTAACAGTGGTATCAAGAGCAAGGTTACGAACCAGGGACATCTGTAGTATGGTTGAAAATGGAAGTGGTAATTTCTTTTCAAATTTACCTATTCTTGATGGAAAGAACTATGATCATTGGGTCATAAGAATGGAGGTCATTCTTGGCTATCAAGAATTATGGGAGGTTGTCACAATAGGTGCTATAGAGAATGATGAAGCCGCAAATAAGAAGAGAGATTGCAAGGCTTGGTGCCTCTTGCACCAATGTGTTGATACAATGAATTTTGAAAGGATTGCCAAGGCCAAGACAACAAAAGAATGCTGGGAGATTCTGCAGAAGGCTCACGGTGGTGGAGAGAAAATCAAGAAAGTGAGGTTGCAATCCTTAAGAAGGCAGTTTGAACTACTTTCAATGGAAGAATAAGAAAAGGTGACAGACTAATTTAATAGATTGCAGTTGCTGGTAAACCAGATTAAGAGTTGTGGGGAGACAATGATAGAATTCAATATAGTGGAGACAGTGACAAAATTCAATATAGTGGAGAAAGTTCTGCGCACTCTGACTGAAAGATTTGATAATGTGGTGGTGGCTATTGAAGAATCTGGCAGAGACATGAAAGCTTTGTCAATGGAAGAGTTGCAGGTCACATTAGAGACACATGAATTGAAACGTCTAACACGAAATTCAGACAAAACAAGTGATGAACAGGCTTTAAAAGCCCAGATAAGCAAGAGAGGAGGACATGCAAGGGAAAAATCGAAGAAGAGTAGAGGAGGCGACATATTTAACAAAGAAGGACATTCTTTGTTCTAAGATTCAAACTTTGGTGAGCAAACAGAGCAGAAAAGGAAGGTGGTCGTGAACCTTGGACTGGCAGAGGCAGACCAGGAAGAAAGAATGTTAATATAAGAAAAATACAGTGTTATAATTGTGAGAAATGGGACCATTATGTAGCAGATTGTTGGCATGGAAAAGGAAAATAGAAGAAGGCTTCAGATGAAGCTGAGGCACATGTGGTTCAAGATGATTCAGAAGAGGAGCCTGTGGTGCTAATGATGACAACTAGTGAGGAAGAGTTTGGTAAAGAAAACTGGTTTCTTGACATTAGATGTTCCAATCATATGACTAGGCACAAAGAATAGATATCCAACATAGATACTAGCAGATCCAGCAAGATAAAGCTGGCAGATGATAATGTGATAAAGGATGAAGGAGTTGGGAATGTGGTCATCAAGAAAAATGATAAAGAAACCATGGTGATAGAGGATGTGTTATATGTGCCAGGAATGAAGTGCAATCTGTTAAGTGTAGGGCAACTAGTGCAGAAAGGTTTTTTAGTGTGCAATGAAGGAGGAAATGTTGAAAGTTTATGATGCTAAGAAAATGCTTGTACTGAAATTGCCCTTGGCAAAGAACAGGATATTTCAAACAAGGTTTGTTTTGGCAAAAAATCACTGTTTAGTAGCAACTACGATAGAGGAAGTGAGTTGGTTGTGGCAAAGGAGGTATGGACACTTAAATTTTATAAGTTTGAAAAAGCCGGCTGATAAAAGGATGGTGACTGGATTGCTTGAGACATTATTTGTACTAGGAAAGGTGTGTGAAGGGTGTTTGATGGGAAAACAACCTAGAAATTCTTTCAAGGCACATATGCACATTAGCTCAAAAGATGTACTGTAGGTGGTTTATTCTGATGTGTGTGGACCAGTTAAGGAATTATCTCTGGGACAAAATAAATATTTTGTCACATTTATTGATGAGTACAACAGAATGATTTGGCTATATTTGATAAAGGCAAAGTCATAGGTGTTTTCTATTTTCAAGATATTTAAGACGATGACAGAGAAGCAGAGTGGGAAAATGATTTGGATATTGAGAACAAATGTAGGAAAGGGGTATTTGTCAAATGAATTTGAAGGATATTGTAGAGAGAATGATGTGTAACATGAAGTTACAGCACCATACACTCCACAACATAATGGGGTGGAAAAGAGAAGAAATAGGATGATACTTGACATGGCCAGGAGTATGATAAAACAGAAGCAGTTGCCTCATTCATTATGGGGGGAAGCTGTTTCAATAACTATGTATTTATTGAACAAATGTCTAACACAGAAGCTGGAAAATAAAGTTCCAGAGGAGGTTTGGTATGGTAGTAGGCCAGGAGTTAAACACTTGAGGATATTTAGCTCAAAGTATCATAAACATGTGTCAGATGCTAAGAGGACAAAATTGGCAGATAAAAGTGAGGCTATGATTTTAGTTGGGTATCATTCTACAGGATTATACAAATTATACAACCCTGTGACTAAACAAATCTGCATAAGTAGAGATGTTGTGGTCGATGAAGAAGAAGCCTTGGATTGGAATGAAGGGAGTACAGGGTTTAACGGTAACAGTGGTTATTTTGAAGAAGAAAGAACAAGTGCAGAAGCTGAAACTGAAGTTTCAAATGAAGGTGCTCAAAATATTGAGAGGTGGTAGGCAGCGTAGGCTACCAACGTCTCTGGTGAATTTTGAGGTTTATTCTGATAATGCAATGAATAATGAAGGGGATCTTGTTCACTTTGCATTAATGACAGAAGCTTTACCAGTTGATTATGAGGAAACTATGAGAGAAGAGAAGTGGAAGAAGGTTATACTAGAAGAGTTGAAAGCCATAGAGAGAACTAAAACTTGGGAATTGACAAACTTACCTAGCAATAAAACATCCATAGACTTGAAGTGGTGTTTAAGCTGAAAATGTATCCAAACGACGGTATAGACAAAAGGAAAGCGAGATTGGTGGTGAGAGGTTTCCTATAAAAGAAGGGACTGAATTATACAGAGGTTTTTTCCCTAGTGGCAAGAATTGAAACAATTCGGGCAGTTGTGGCATTAGCTAATGGAAGAAAGTGGCCTATGTTCCAAATGGATGCCAAATTGGCATTCCTAAATGAACCACTTGAGGAGGAAGTATATGTCACTTAACCTCCTGGTTTTGTAAAGAAAGGTGAAGAATATAAGGTGTATAGACTAAAGAAGGCTCTTTATGGCCTTAAACAGGCACCTAGGGCCTGAAATAAAAGAGTTGACTCGTTTATGGTGAGTCATGAATTCAAGAAGTGCTTAGTAAAACATGGGGTATATGTAAAGCATGGAAAGAATTCTGATTTGATATTAATGTGCATATATGTGGATGATTTACTTATTACTGGGAGCAACAACAATGAGATAGAAAATTTTAGAAGCATATTTATGGGGGAGTTTGAGATGACAGATCTTGGAAGGCTAAGGTATTTTCTGGGAATGGAGTTTGTGGAGATAGAACAGGGCCTAATTCTCAATCAGAAGAAGTATGCCACTGAGATTATGACCAGGTTTGACATGAAAGAGTGTAACATTAATGTAACACCAACAGAAGGTAAGACTATCGAAAGTGTAGATGGTGAAGAAAATGTGGATGGTACTTTGTACAATCAAGTGGTTGGGTCACTCAGATATCTATGCAATAATAGACCTAATATCTGTTTTGCAGTGGGAATTTTAAGCAGATTTATGCATAATCTGCAGAAGAAACATATGTTAGCAGCTAAAAGGGTGATGAAATACATTAGGGGTACTTTGGATTTTGGAATTTTATTTCCAAAAACCCAATCAAGTACATAACAGATTAATATGCTACTCTGATACAGACTGGTGTGGAGATAGTGTAGATAGAAGGAGTACTACATGGTGCATATTTTTGTTCATGGGAACACCAATTTCTTGGTGGAGTAAGAAGCAGTCTTTGGTGGCCTTATCAACATGTGAGGTTGAGTACATTGCAGGGGCAAGTGTAGCTTGTCAAACTATCTGGCTAGACTCAATTATGGAGAAACTAGGAATCATCTTAGAGAAACCTATTGAGTTACTGGTGGACAACAAATCAGCTATTGATTTGGCCAACAACCCAGTTTCACACAGAAGAAGTAAACACATTGAAACTAGATTCCATTTCATTCGGGACCAGGTTAGCAGAGGGAAGATAAAGTTGGTGCATTGTCCTACTCAACTAAAGTTAGCTGATATCTTGACTAAATCTTTGAAGAAGGAGAGGTTCAAGATACTCAAAGAAAATTAGGAATTTTGAGTGTTGATACTGGAATTAAGGGGGATGTTAGAATTTAATTCCAACCCTAGGTTTTAACTTTCAGTTTTTAGTTTGTAACTAATTTTGTAACCCAATAATGGTGTACTCTCCTATATAAGAGTACCCATAATTTAGAATCAATTGTATTACAATTTTTCCAGTTTATCACAAAATACACAAATCAAACCTATCATTGTGCAAATTATTATGTAAATTATTGTGTGATTGTACGTGTGTGAGGAATATAGAGAAGAAGAGCGTAAAAAACTTATCTGGTTCCATAACAAGGGACAGTGGTGTTGTGACGGTGGAAATTCTGGAACCCTAGTAGCGCAGTGAAACGGTGGGAGTTTTTTTCGCGTATCGAGTTTGTTGTATACAGAAAAGGGGGGGTGTGGTAAACATTGACAATTTGGGCCTAAGTATTGACCAGGTTTAATAATATATAATTTTTTATTATTCAAAATATATAATTCAGATAATTATTGAATATTTATTTATTTTTTTAATTTCAATAATATATTGACATAAATTTTTTTAAAATGAGTCTTAATTATTAACGTTTCATTTTTAACAACTAATTCATAAAAATAATTAAAAAGGAGAATTAAAAAACCTAATTTCTTAAAGAAAATCATCTAAAACATAATAAAATTTAAAACATATAAAAAAAAGATGTGAAGAAAATAATCAAATCGAACTCCGACAAGTTGAATATATTCTCCGTTGGAGAAGACAAGCATGTGACATTATAATGTCACGTAGAGAAGAGATATGTTATGTGTGAAGGAGAGACCCAAGTAGCGTCGTAGAGAGAAAATGATTGTTCAAAAGGGAGATAAAACAACAAATTTAGCATGAAAATGAGTTTTATTAAGATGAGTGCGACGAAATGAGTTTTATTGAAAGAGAAAATGTGAGGTGAAAATGATGAAAAGGAAAAAAAAG